TTTCATAAATAATGTATATATTTGACGTTCTGTAGTTGTAATATTTCAGAATCTCGATATTGTTTCAATAATTAATTGTTTTATGTCGACAGAGGATCACTTACTTTGAATAATATTGAAGAAAAACGAAACAAGAGCATTGTTTTTATCATAGCCACCCTGCTTCGTTTAGATACTGTCGATTTCTTTTTTTCTCCTACCGTTTTTGTTTCACTTTTCACGAAATATGGTGGTGATTAGACGAGTTGCCGCGGAAAAAAACGAGGAGTTGTGATGAATAGAGAGACAGAACTAAAGTTTGAAGACTCTGAAGATCGGAAGACAGGCGAACACAAAAGACTGCCGTGCTATATTGTTATGCACGACTGTCGGTCCCTACCTTTTCGTGATATGCCAAGTAGAATAAAGAAAACTTGAGTCTACCTGTCTACCAGAGGGAGTAAAGAAGAAGCAAAGAGGTGTGTCACTCGAAAGCTTAACGTATCAATTCTGAACAAAATTTTTTCGCTTAATGCGGTATATAAAATAGTTACATTTTCCTACTTCGCAAAAGAATGACATTTGAAATTCCCCAGAAATGGATACTCGAGATCCGGGAAAGTTTGAAGAAACCATTAATATCGAAGCTCAAGTTAAAAGCTTTTGTGTAAAGTCAAAGGCCCAAAAGATACAGAAAAGTATTTCATCTGTTTCTGTTCTCGTAGTTGATATTTCTGATGTTATTGAATATTGTAATTTCAAATATAATCTTCTATATAAAATACGCATGTGAAAAGCTACATATGTGTTAAATGGTTGGTTGTCAATATTGTTTGGTCCTATGCATGAGAGGAATATATCAAAATGATATATATGAATAATGTGTATATGTATATACCTATATATATATATTATATATATATTCTTTTTTTTCAATAATATTCTTCGATTTTATTCTGACAATTCTGATATTTTATTTTATTTACGCTCTACCGCATATAAGCGCGTTATTGGCTCCATACAGGTGACTATAAAATGCGCTCGATATTTCGGCAGGAAAGCGACAAAACCGGAATTCCATGGCCATAAATTTTTGAATTAATATATAATGCTAGCGCGTAGGTGGCAACGTTGGTTGTGGTCGCAGATGACAAGGTGCAATTCACCCAAATTGAGTTACCGTCACTCGAAATAACTTAACTAGTTGCAAATGCACATGCACTGATTGCACCTAAGCTTATTGACATGACTGCAATTAAGAAATCGACTTCGTCTTGAAAGAGAGCATGCCGCGACAGTGAATAGTGATGTTTGTGTGTGTGTGTGTGTGTGTGTGTGAGAAACAATAGCGTTCAGAATAAATGCCACCAGATTGCTTTATCGTGCAAGCGCATAAATATTTGATAAATACAATCAGATTTTAATATGAACAATTCCATTTTAGTGTACTATATGTCTAATTGATTTATTTTATATAACGATTTAAAACGATCTAATCTTAATCAAGATGATTCCATAAGACATGGGAGCAATCAAAGACCTAGAAATTTTTATTTCTTAAAATAAAATTTATTTGACTAATATTTTTTAATTTAGTCGTATAAAATATTTTACCCCAAATGCCAATTATTACATCAATTAAATTTGTACACATTTTTTAAATTTAATTGGAATTTTTAGTTATAATATAATAATTAATGTATGTATGACCCTTAACTCTCAATGACAGAATTATTTCATTTATATTTAAAAAATATTATATTTGCCATTGGTGTGATTTTTTGTGTGACACATATATTTTTGAATTTCTCTATACATTATAATCTCTTTCATGCCTCTTTCAAATCCTCTTTCATGAATCCTCTGTAAATCAATCGAACTTTCCATTTTATCAATTATTCATCTCCATCATCACTTGCGCTCTTCAGATTGGGCGTTAAGGATCACGCACACCCCTGCGCTTGTTTACACTGCGACGGAAAGTTAAGAGGCTTGAATGCTGGCTTTCCGGCTGCTGGGACGTCAAGTAATCAACTTGGCTGACCCAGAAAGTCAAAAGGGCTTCGTTTACTTGCCATTTCTCTCGCCCTTCTCTTGCTATCCGTCTCCTCCTCTTCATATGGTTTGCTCGAGAAAGAGAGTTTCTTTTTCTCTCCGTCGTTTCTCCATTTATTCGCCCGTCTTCTCGCTATCCCTGCTTATCTCTATCTGTCCCCCCATTTTGCTTTGCAGCGTCTCTACCCACCGGAACAGCGTCAGAATTTAGCGCGCAGATACGGTGGTACAGTTAAAATCGGGCAGTGACCGAAAACTTCAATATTCCGGTTCTTGCACCGAGAAGAGGAGATCGGAAGCGAGTGAAAGATATCGGCAGACGTTAAGAGATCGTATAAATAGAATGGAATCGAAGGTCGTGGAATGCTTTCGGTAGTACCTACAACATGGATCAGACGCCGCGAAGATGTACGTTATATGCAACATTTCAAAGTCATCTAACAATAAGTCGTTGCATGATATCGTACATCGATTACTCTCGTTTGAACTGTCGCGTCGTTGCAAGAAAAAGCACACAGTTAAATATATTCACTTTCTCAGAATACCTTTTATAAAATATTATCGACGATATATCAAATAATGTGTGTGCAGTGTTCTGCGTTTTTCAAAAGTTCTTTCTCGTTAACAAAAATTTGATTGTTTAAGAATTAAATTGTTAATATATCTCTGGCATATTAACAGTCATTACCTTTATTAATTATTACCTTTATTACACGTATTAAATATTTACATTTGTCAAATACTAAGAGAATCAATTTCTAAATCTTTATTTAGATTCAAAATATGTACGCAGCACAGGAATTAATAAAGAAATTTCTTTCTCTTTGTTGTCATCGTCTTCAACGTCTTGAACGTCTGTGAAAGAACATTTAATACTACCAGCTCGGTTATCATTGTACCATCTCTAACCGCCATTGGTAGACTTCTGTGTTTTCATTCAACTTTTATGTAAGCATTTGTCACTTCTTCATTCTTCAGTATTCCCCATTTTTCTTCTTTTCTTCTTTGTGAGGCAAGTTCCATTTCACTCCTCGGTTCTTCGACTTAATTATTCGCTCAAGTAATAACTTTTCGTGCTAATTTGTTTGCATCTGACAAAGTGGAAGTGGTCCGCGTAGCAAATATAAGAAATTATTCTGACTACAATTAATTTTAGTCAGGCTTGGATAGACACGTTTACGCGAGTATGGCAGTTGTATTTAAGGAACGATGCAAAAAATAAAAATAGTAGAAATATTGGAAACAATACAAATATTAGAAACCAACGTTATTAATATTACAATAATTAAAATATGCATTGTATTATCTTATGTGCGTGCGTGCGCGTATGCGTGTGTGATGGTAAACGATATTATATTTTACTTGCATTAAGAACGCAACAAATTCTATGGTAGTCGTAAACTGGATTTATATTTATTTGAATAAAAATGGTTTTCCTTGTAGATATCAGCTTTTCAAACGTCTATAATTAATATTTTACTGGCATAGGGAATATATTGGATGGTATTGGTATCGAGCGAAAGTTGGGATACAGAAGAAAGTAAATTTTTCGCAGAAAGACCGTCTGCGAACCTTTAAGAGTTTAATCGTTCTCTTCGTTTGTGTCCGTGGCGATCATAGACATCACTGGGGATTTATAGTTGGACCTTTCCGGGCTAAAACGGGTCTCGTGCATTACCCGGTGCCGGTGCGATAGACGAGGAGCACGAAGTCGAGGGTCCCGAGCTTAAATCGAGTTTACTCCGATATCGAATTTCGCTGGAAGCAAAGTCTCCGGTGTATTGTCTTGAAAAACCGGAGAGACAATATCGCTGGAGTTACTGGTTGAAGGAATGTATAGTTTAAATTTAGTTTAAGTTTACAGTAGCAAGCGAGCATTCGTCACCGTTTGATAAGATCAACGGTCACGTCAATCGAATTTTCAAGGCGAGCTATTTTATAACATTGACCTTATCATCTGTACACTTAGCATCGTATAGAAGCTTAGAGAATATACAAAATTATGGCTCGTATTTCGAGATAGTTTAGAAATCGAATAAAGTGGAATGTGCATGGTGGATATAAGTTGGCAATGTGTTGTGTTAATTTATTAACGCAATCAGCAATCACGTTCTATAATTCAATATGAACTAATATGAAGTTGAGTAGTTGGTAAAAGCTACATTAGTTAATTGTGCCTTTCATAATTTAGTTTGCAGCATTTTAAAGTTTATTTGTTGAAAAAAGAAGAAGAGAAAGAAAATATAAAAAGCAAAATTTATATTTAAATTTATTAAGAATAAATTTAGACATTAAAAACAAGATTCTTTATGACGTTGCCATCTCGCGAGAGTGAGAATAAAGCTAGTACGAGTAAAACTGCGTCTACGCAACTTTCGCTGACGATTGCAGCCAGCAGGAATCTTCCGTATCGACACCCAGTGCATTTTCTGGTAGAGAACGTGTGCTTCAAAGTTAGAAATACGAGCTTACTTGTGCCGATAATTCAGTTCTCTGAACCATCGTATAGACTTGCTCCTTGCTCGTTTTAAATAAAAAATCATAATTAGAAGCGTGCTTGTTAACTAGTATTCGATTAGATAGAATTTAGAATTGAGAGAGTAGACGTCATAAAATTATTTGACGTTAATAGTTTTTTATCGATTATCAAGTTGTTCATTTCTTCGACACGCATATCTTTACGATTTACGATGCGTGTATATGTTTGTTCGTATTTAGCGTGCAATTATTATTACGTGCGTTTATCGCGTAGGGAAAGCATTATAATATCATTATTTTTATTCTACCATTATATGACGCTATAAAGCGCAGAGATAATTAATACGCACCGCCTGATTCTTGTAAATTATTCGAAACACGCATCGCACAACGTAGTCACGTCACCCAAAGTAGATACGAAAACTGTGTGATGCTTATCTTTCGCCTACATCTATTATGCGCATACATTTAAAACTATCTTACCATGTTTATTCTCCTCCGCGTAGAAGGCATAATCGCCCGTTTCCCTGTGCTTGCCCTTGAGCTATAGTCGTGAGTCAGCTTACACTCGTATAGCGCCGAAGAAATTTTCCAGACAATTAAAAATTCTTACTTATCGCTTCTAAATTTCAGAAATCTGTAAACAAGACAAAACATAAAGAAATTTTATTTTAGACTAGACTTTTATGTCTCCAGGGTGTTTCGTATAACAATCATTTTATTTATTAAAGTTTTGAGCTATTTATTGGCTAAAGCCGCTAAAGTTAGAATTCGTATGAAGCAAAATATGTGAAATTTGAATTATGCAGACAATATGAATGTATAGTATTTTGTAAACTATTTACCTATATACGTAGTAATATTCGAGTGAGGAAACAGGAATCTCTAATAACCTCGTATTCACTCCGTATCTTCTCATATGGCTATTATTCCAGTCTTCTGCTGACAAATGTTCTAATAAATGTTCTAATAAGAAAATTAAGTACTTATATGTGAAAGAAATTATAATTACATAATATTTAGCGTCAAATATTTTCGTCAAATATTTGCATGTTCTAATTGAAGTGTAAGGTTATCTCACGGTGACGTGTACGGTGTACGAATATCATACGTGTTACGCGTCCTCACGTTAAATGGTAAAGATAGTGACGTTTACACGTACCATAAATAAGAAAGGTGAATTAAAAGGAAAGAAGCCACACGGAGAGAAATTTACGGTCGAATATATCCGTCGTGCTCGTACGTTTGGTTTGGAGCGGATGCCTGGAGTCGGTGCTCCGCGAGGAGCGGCGAGCGGCGGCGCGGCGCGGCGAGGCGACCGGCAGAGGGGGTGGGGGCGCGGCGCGTGGGGCTGCGGGCTGCGCGGGTCACGGCTGTCACTCGTCAGTCCGTCGCGAGCGCTCGCGTCGTGAAGTTCGTGCTTCTTCGCCGCTGAATTGACACCGTACGTACTCGGCGAGCGCATACCTCCGCGAAAATTCACATTAATGTCACGGCCGCGGAGCCTCGGAATAATCGCGTCGCCGCGATTCGCCGCGATTTTTGTACGGTTACTCCAACGATTCTCGCGCGACTCCCGCTTTTCGTCTGGTGCGGTATAATCACCTGTCTTTGGGCGCCCGCGCGCGCGCGTGTCGCGTCGCGTCGCGTCGCGTTGCGTGTGTTGTATTGTGCCGTGTCGATCGTGTGCCGGTCGTTTCGTTCTCAAATCTCTCGCGTACGGGTTCTCGCGCGGAAATTCGTCCCGGTCCTGCCGCGCCGCGCGCCGGCTGTTTGCCGATAGTGTGCGTGGTGAGAGAAAAAGCGTGTTTGTGCTGTCTCTGTGCTCTTTGGATTACTGGAAGCGCATCCGGCGAGAAGTTGGCGCTGAGATTTGAATTCGCAACGCTCCAAAACGCAGGTACGTCACACGTTAACCCCTGCGCTTCGCTCGAGAAGATCGTGGATGCACTCTGGATTTCTTGTGTGCTTGATACCAATAATATTAAATATTACCAATGCAAAATGAGAGCGCACAGTGGATGAAACGAAATTTTGTTTTGACGGAGCGCGAGTCACTGCTCCAAAATGGAGTCGTGTTGCTTTACTTCTCTCTCTCTTGCCATGTAGCGTGCACGCCTCGCGCTCCAATGATCGTGGGAGCCCCGCGCATTTTGGATCACCGCGCGGGCACGCTGCATCGAAGCGTTGTTTATACGATTTTATTTGACGATTTTCACGATCATCACATTCGTCCAAAGCGTTCTATTTCGATAAACATGGACTGGCACGAATTTATTTTTGCGAGTCTCATCACCCTTTTTAACAGCGCTATTTCGCGCATCAATACTTTCGTTTTCCTGACATCATCGGCGGAAAAATGTCGATATTTTTTTAACGATCTTTATGTAACATATTAATATAACAACATAAAATATGTAACTATATAGTTTTCACGTAACGTTGCAATGCGATGCATTTTCGAAATTATAAATGATACTTTTATTATTTTTATGTTACCGCAATCAACTCTGATGTTTATGATTTAGTTGTTTTAAAAACTTTATTGACAATTGTAAATATGTGTGTTTATATTTATATTGATGTCTCGTAAAGGAAAACAAACGTATTTTATTCACAATTTAAGCAATTTCTGTTAATTTGTGCGCTTTTTATTTTGCATTGCGTATAAAATTTTTATTCTCAAAACTCGAGTGCTTTCCTCCCTTTTGATCCAATCTGCAGATTTTATTTTTATATCTATATCACACACATCCACGAATCTTTAAAAGAAGCTGCCATATTTTACGATTATTTGCGATGCCGCATGAATTCGTAATTCGATACCCGTCGAAGCTCCCGGCTGAATTCTCACGATTGTTATAAGTATGTTTTTATATATTATATATTTTTTGTAACAGATAAATCTGAGAATTACGTATAATATATAGAACGGATTAAGATATCCGGAATAAGAAGAATTATGCCGCGCTTATTTAATGTTCTTCGTATCTTGAGATTTTCGCGATTATGGAGCTTCGGCGAAATCGGCGATTTCTTGTTGGCTCACCTGTCTTGGCAAACGCACACGCCTGGAAAGTGTACGACGTCATAGTCCACACCACACACGCGGATCGCACCTGTTGTTCGCATTTTACGCGTCTCAAGTCTAAAGTCAAAGTCGATCGCGAGACGCGAGTTTACGATGCCGATGCTGCGTGTAAAATTATGCGCGCATGCCTACGCGCGAGCATATTACCCGTTTATAGCCGTTAAGAACCTCTTAACATTCGCGAGCCGTGCGAAGCATGGAGACTATGAAGAGAAACGAGATTCATCGCGCGCCGAACGAGCAACGATGACCTAAATGCAACAAACGGACGTCAAGCTCATAGTAGTACCCGCGCCGCGTTCTTCGCGAATGCCTCAAACGCTTTTCGGCGAATCTGTAAATCAATCGATTGGAAATTGCACTTGCGGGTGTTTGCGCATCCTCGAAATGTCTTTAACATTGTCATCGTTGTAACGTAAAATAACTGAGATATGGAAAATGACTTTAATTTCAATAACTTTAATTCCTTTTACGCATTTTTATTTGGAAATTTTTATTTTAGTTTTCATTGTTATCATGTGTTTATTTTGATTACTGTTAATTATGATTATACTTGATTAATCGGTAGACAAAAATCACTTATAATTAAAATGTAACAGTTTTTATAGTCTTAATCGACATAGTCATGACGGCGCCGGTCGCTATCTCGAACATGCTTTTCGGAGCGTATGTAGCATTATTTGTCGGTATATAATTATGGTTAATTATCTTGCAATTTTGTTACGGTACCGTATGACGAATGATTCGCGTGATCATTAAAGGCGGTGCGTTTATGCGTTCATTGTAAACACGTCACTCGGAGAAAGCTTGAAATTGCGCTACTTAACGCACGTCTTGTAAAAGTTATTCTACACATTTTCAAAAAAATCATTTACTTTTAAATAGTTTTAATTTTTATATATACATATTTCTCAAAGATATTTCTGATTTTTTTGCGCTCAGATAATTTCGTTGTATTCCTTATTCGCAATGATGACTAATGTAATAATTCGAATCGTCTTCGTGCTACGAAATCGTCCATCGAACAATCGTTACCAATTGAAACGTAATTTACCGTTCAAGCTTATAAACTTAACGACCGTGCTGAAAGAGAAAGTGGATCGCGATTTTGTGTCCGTTCACTTTTATTATGGAGTAGCGGAAGCGATGCTTCGATAATTTCACATGCGAAGATTCAAGTCAATGGTTTTTCTATTTATGTCAAAGAATTATCTGAACTTGTTTATTGTCTATCGATTAACTAAATATGTTTATTGCTTTGTATAATCGAACAACTTTTTGTGAAAAATTATTTGAAGAATCCAAAAATGATGTAAAAGTACTATGTCGTTGACCCTAACCGACGTGTGCGTATGTCAGTTGTTGCTGCATATCGAGAATTGTAGATGAAAAAAATTTGAAAAATTAAATGGATAATGCAGCTGTAGTTACCAAAATATTAATTAGATTAGAATAAATTAGAGACATCTCGTGCGAATTATAGATTAACAATTAAATAATTATCTGTAAACCAATTTACAATTCTATGCCTTATAAATTACTTTATTTGTATTGCAATGTGCAAAAAATTTGCTTCAAATTTTATTTTATTTTATGTCATAAAAAGTATAAAAATTTTGTATTAAACTCTGTTCTCATAAAATGCCGAATCTTCGATCGAATTCATACACTACATCCTATGTATGAATTTAATTAACTAGTTACCATTGTTTAGTCAATTAAAATAAATTAGTTTTTGCCGTTTTTATGAGCTTTATTCTTTCTGCTGTTTTTTTATCGGATATTGTCAAATGATACTGAATACTATTTTAATAATAACCAAGGTTAATAACTACCATTACAAAACGTTTTGACCAATGCGATGTCATTGGATACATGATTCATTTGCGATAACATAACGATGCGAAATGAGATCAAAGTGCACTCTGTTCTTTATTATTCGTTGTATAATCACATTTCTGTAGCTCGACTTTAAGATAGGACATTTTTTGAAAATTTACGAAGCATTTTGTTGTCGAATCGGCAAAAGACTTTCACGTCGATATTCGTGTCGAAAATTGCCAGTTACGTTCGCGCTTTTTTCCGGGCAAGACCGCATAGCGGTGAAAAAAATAACGGGTGTAATTTCCTCACGATGTGTGCCACGTTTCCTCTTTTTGGATGGCGGGATCGAAATGGCCCGAAGCATTCGCAAGCCACGGATATCCGGGTGCGCGTACTACGCGTGGATGTCTGTGTACGGTGAGCATAATTAATAATTTCGGAGCGCGCCGTATGGTTCAGCAAACAGCCCTTTCTTTTTTTCCTCTTGCACCACTTTTGTTCGTTGAATAATGCTCGGCATCAAGGCGGGGTTCGAAATCACCTGGTCGAATCGCGCTGCGTGGGGTTAAGCGCTTAGACAACTCGTGTCGTAGCCCTCATCTGCTCGTATCCTTTCTAAATTCAGCCATTTCGATCCCCCGTCCCTCCCTGTATGTGCCCGTTGATTTAAAATTTAAATCAACCTTTGAAAAACGCGATGTTAGATTTTCATCATTTGTTCTTATATTCTTATTGCCATATTACGCGTTTGTATAGAATATAGACTATAGACCATAGACCATTTCAATTTGTGTTATAGAAATGCTATGTATATGTATATACATATATGTATTGCGTTATTGTTTTTCTTGTAAGAATCATATAGCTTTCTAGTTTCTGCAAGCTCCTGCGCTTGCAATTTTTACAAAGATTTCTATAAATGTTGCCAGAGTTGTGTCAATTAAACTATTATGGGTAATAGTTATTACTATTGGCATACTATCTTTGTCACGTCCAAATCGAAACACAATTACGTGAAAACTCGGAAAGACTAACCGAAAGTTTTGATTGGAATGTACGATTGCTGCGTACGCGCGCGCAATAATAACCATGAACGAGTCGGGCGAATGTTGCATAGTGTGTACACCATGTACACGTAATAGCGGTCATATGCTATTCGATATTGTTTTTATTCTCGTGTTAATCTCACACAATATGATAGAGTGCATTCAAATTTATCTGGGGGAACGGCATCGTCCGATACAGAAATGGGATCGAGTGATACGGACACGGAGAAAATTAGTTAAACCACCTCTCCCGCGTCCACCTCTTTGGGGACCAGTTCGATCAATA